CCCAACCCCGCCCCCCCCCCGGGGGGACCCCGAGCCCCCCGCCGGGGACGCCCCCGAGGTGGAGATCGAGTACGTGAGCGAGGAGCCCGAGATCTACGACCCCAACTTCGTCTTCTTCAAGAGGATCTTCGAGGCCTTCAAGGTGACGCTTCGGGGGGGTGGTGGCACCTTTGGGTGCCAGTGTCACCCCTGGGTGCTGAGGGGTCATTCCTGGGTGCTGGGGTCACCCCTGGGTGCTGAGGGGTCATTCCTGGGTGCCGAGGGTGACTCCAGTGTCACCCCTGGGTGCTGCTGACCCGTGTCCCCTGTCCTCTGACCCTTGTCCCCTCTCCCTGACCCTGTCCCCTCTCCCTGTCCCCATCCCTGATCCCTGTCCCCTTTCCCTCTCCCTGTCCCCATCCCTGATCCCTGTCCCCTCCTTGACCCTGTCCCCTGGGTGCTTCTGAACTCTGTCCCCTGTTCCTGTGTCCTCTCCCTGTCCTGGTTCCCATCCTTGTCTCCTGTTCCCTCTCCCCTCACCTGTGTCCCCTGTCCCCATCTCCTGACCCTGTCCCCTGGGTGTCCCTGACCCGTGTCCCCTGGGTGTCCCTGTGCCCTGACCCGTGTCCCCTGTCCCCTGGGTGTCCCTGTCCCCTGACCCGTGTCCCCTGTCCCTGTCCCAGCTGACGGACGAGGTGAAGAAGGACAAGGAGAAGGAGCCGGAGCGGGCAGAGCGAGCCGAGAGCGCCGGAGCGCCCCGGAAAAAGGGACCCGAGGATGGCACCAGGGGCAGCGACGGGGACAGCTCCGAGGACGAGCAGGTGACATGGGGACACTGGGGACACTGGGGACAGCCCCGAGGATGAGCAGGTGACACGGGGACACTGGGGACACTGGGGACACTGGGGGACAGGGGCAGCGACGGGGCCCCTGACCCATGTCCCCTGTCCCCTGGGTGTCCCTGTCCCCTGACCCGTGTCCCCTGTCCCCTGGGTGCCCCTGACCCATGTCCCCTGTCCCCTGGGTGTCCCTGCCCCCTGGGTGTCCCCTGTCCCCTGGGTGCCCCTGACCCATGTCCCCTGTCCCCTGGGTGTCCCTGCCCCCTGGGTGTCCCCTGTCCCCTGGGTGCCCCTGACCCATGTCCCCTGTCCCCTGGGTGTCCCTGCCCCCTGGGTGTCCCCTGTCCCCTGGGTGCCCCTGACCCATGTCCCCTGTCCCCTGGGTGTCCCTGCCCCCTGGGTGTCCCCTGTCCCCTGGGTGTCCCTGTCCCCTGACCCGTGTCCCCTGTCCCTGTCCCAGCTGACGGACGAGGTGAAGAAGGACAAGGAGAAGGAGCCGGAGCGGGCAGAGCGAGCCGAGAGCGCCGGAGCGCCCCGGAAAAAGGGACCCGAGGATGGCACCAGGGGCAGCGACGGGGACAGCTCCGAGGACGAGCAGGTGACATGGGGACACTGGGGACACTGGGGACAGCCCCGAGGATGAGCAGGTGACACGGGGACACTGGGGACACTGGGGACACTGGGGGACAGGGGCAGCGACGGGGACAGCTCCGAGGATGAACAGGTGACATGGAGACACTGGGGACATGGGGACAGCTCCGAGGACGAGAAGGTGACATGGGGACATTGGGGACACTGGGGGACAGGGGCAGTGATGGGGACAGGTCCGAGGATGAGAAGGTGACATGGGGACACTGGGGACATGGGGACAGCTCCGAGGACGAGCAGGTGACACGGGGACACTGGGGACATTGGGGGACAGGGGCAGTGAGGGGGACAGCGGGGCGTCCCTCCCGGTGTCACTTGCGCTGTCCCCGCGTGTCCCCAGGAGAAGAAGCAGGAGGTCCCCAAGCTGTCCAAGAAGAAGCTGCGGCGCATGAACAGGTTCACGGTGGCCGAGCTGAAGCAGGTGACACTTGGGGACACGGCCCTGTCCCCTCCCCCGTGGGTGTGGGTGGCACTCGGAGCTGGGGACAGCCCTGAGGTGACACCTCCTGTCCCCTGGGAGCCCCGGTGGGGACACCAGAGCCACCCTGGGCTGTGCAGTGTGTCCCTTGTCACCTTCCTGGGGACGCTGGTGCCATGCTGGTGTCCCCTGTCCCCACCCAGGGTCACGTTGGTGTCCCCAGCACCATTCTGGGGCTCTCCCCCTGTCACTATGTTTTGTCCCCTGATGTCCCTTTGCTGTCCCCGCTGTCCCCACAGCTGGTGGCCCACCTTGTCGTGGTGGAGATGCACGATGTGACCACCCAGGGGTCACTTGGGGTCCCACAGAGCCACCCCACGGCTCTTCCCCCTTAACTCCCCTGCCATTCCCCGCTGTCCCCTGCTGTCCCTTGATGTCCCATTGCTGTCCCCACTGTCCCCACAGCTGGTGGCCCACGTTGGCATGGAGATGCACAGTGTGACCACCCAGGGGTCACTTGGGGTCCCACAGAGCCACCCTGGGGCTCTTCCCCCTTAACTCCCCTGCCATTCCCCGCTGTCCCCTGCTGTCCCTTGATGTCCCATTGCTGTCCCCACTGTCCCCACAGCTGGTGGCCCGCCCGGACGTGGTGGAGATGCACGATGTCACCGCGCAGGACCCCAAGCTGCTGGTGCACCTGAAGGCCACGCGGAACTCGGTGCCGGTGCCGCGGCACTGGTGCTTCAAGAGGAAATACCTGCAGGGCAAGAGGGGCATCGAGAAGCCGCCCTTCGAGCTGCCCGAGTTCATCAAGCGCACCGGCATCCAGGAGATGCGCGAGGCCCTGCAGGAGAAGGTGGGGACAGCTTGGGGACACCTCGGGGACAGCTCGGGGACACCTCGGGGACAGCTTGGGGACGTCTCAGGGAATGCCTGAGGGGCAGCTGTGGGGCAGCCAGGGGGGTGGGAGTGGGTTTGGGGAGGGGTCTCGGGGGTCTGGGGAGGTTCTAAAGGTTCACAGGCATCCAGGAGATGCACGAGGCCCTGCAGGAGAAGGTGGGGACAGCTCAGGGACACCTCGGGGACAGCTTGGGGACATCTCAGGGACAGCTTGGGGACATCTCAGGGGCATCTCGGGGAATGCCTGAGCGGCAGCTGTGGGGCAGCCAGGGGGGTGGGAGGATTTTGGAGATTTGGGGACATCCTGGGTTGGAATTCCAGAAATCTGGGGACATCCTGGTTGGGTTCTGGGGACATCCTGGTTGGATTTTGGAGGTTTGGGGACACCATGGTTGGATTTGGGGACATCCTGGTTGGATTTTGGAGGTTTGGGAACACCATGGTTGGATTTTGGGGACATCCTGGTTGGATTTGGGGACACCCTGGTTGGATTTTGTGACCTTGTGGCCGTGGTGGTCACACCTTGGTGGTCACACCTTGGTGGCCGCCATCGCTTCCCCCGAGGCTCCCCGGGGCCACCCCCGTGTCCCCACGGCCCCGGGGCGTGTCCCCACCGTCCCCTGCGCTGTCCCCAGGAGGAGCAGAAGACCATGAAGTCCAAGATGAGGGAGAAGGTGCGGCCCAAGATGGGCAAGATCGACATCGACTACCAGAAGCTGCACGACGCCTTCTTCAAGTGGCAGACCAAGCCCAAGCTGACCATCCACGGGGACCTCTACTATGAGGTGGGGACACCTGGGGACACCTGGGGGGACATGTGGGGCTTTAGGGCTCTCCTGGGGGACATTTGGGGACATCCTGGTTGGAGTTTGGGGACATCCTGATTGGAGTTCTGGTGGTTTAGAGATGTCCTGGTTGGATTTTGAGACTTTGGGGACATCCTGGTTGGATTTTGGGGGTTTGGGGACACCTGAGGGGACATTTGGGGCTTTAGGGCTCTCCTGGGGGACATCTGGGGACATCCTGGTTGGGGTTTGGGGACATCCTGGTTGGATTTTGGAGGTTTGGGGACATCCTGGTTGGATTTTGGGGACATCCTAGTTGGATTTTGGGGGTTTGGGGATACCTGGGGGGACGTGTGGGGCTTTAGGGCTCTCCTGGGGGACATTTGGGGACATCCTGGTTGGAGTTCTGGTGGTTTAGAGATGTCCTGGTTGGATTTTGAGACTTTGGGGAAATCCTAGTTGGAGTTTTGGGGTTTGGGGACACCTGGGGGACATTTGGGGACACCCGGTGGCAATCGTCACTTTTGGGACATCCCTGTGGGACTTGGGGGGGCTTTGGTGACATCCTGGTTGGGTTTTTGGGGCTGTCACCACCCCTGGAGTTCTGGGGTTTGGGGACATCCTGGTTGAAGATTTGGGGGTTTGGGGACATCTTGGGAGATATTTGAGGATTTGGGGTTGTTGTGGTTGGATTTTGGGTGGTTTGGGGACGTCCTGGTTGAACATTTTGGGGTTTGGGGACATCCTGGGGGTGGCAATCGTCACTTCTGGGACATCCCTGCGGGACTTGGGGGGGCTTTGGTGACATCCTGGTTGGGTTTTTGGGGCTGTCACCACCCCATGACCCCGCTGTGTCCCCTGGGTGTCCCTGCTGTCCCCTGGGTGACCCCGCTGTCCCCTGGGTGACCCCGCTGTCCCCTGGGTGTCCCCTTGTCCCCAGGGGAAGGAGTTTGAGACGCGGCTCAAGGAGAAGAAGCCGGGAGATCTCTCGGACGAGCTGCGGATCGCGCTGGGCATGCCCGTGGGGCCGGTGAGGGCACCCAAAACCACCCCAAAACCACCCCAAAACCACCCCAAAATCACCCCAAAATCACCCCAAA